ATGTCCAATTTTTTTATTTCTTTAAAATATACCTTCAAGACCTTAGAGTTTGTGTTCGTGTTGCATTACCTTCGCATCGATCTGGTTTCCTTAACAAACAATTCTCCTTGATTAAATTTTAATAATAAATGTGGCCACCTCTTTAAAACAACATTACAGCCAATGACCCACATTTCGATGTTGCAATGGGGAAAATACTCGCCTGGCTTAAATCTAACAGATTCCGGCTAACAGCTGAAAGTTTTTAGCCGCTTTAAGAAGGGATGAATGATGGCAACACAACTTTTGTTGTCCGAGGACAATGTCTGGGGGGTTTTGGCAACAAAATAATGTAAACATTGCGTTGCTTTTGGGCGGGCCAACGCACAAAAGTAGGCTTCACTCTAACGCTTAACATGCTCGTTAAATGTCAAGCGGAAAGTTGCTGGAAAGTCAATGACCAGCCGAGGATTTCCCACACCCCCTTTATTTGCAAAAAAAAAAAAACAAAAAACAAAAATGTGAAAAAATGTAATAACAATAGCAAAAGTTTGTTTTTCGGAGTTGAATGAGCGCACTTAGTTAGCGCACGAAGGGTTTTCCATGGTGTTGAATACGAATTCCATTGCACTCTTCGCCAGTGAAAAGCCCTCCTCAGGATTTTTCCAACACGGACCCCCCGTCGTTTCGTGACATGTCCCAGGCCGTGGAAAAAAAAAAAAAGAAATGTGATAAATTTTCGCGTCCGCTGGGGAAAATGTGGAACACCAAACACAATCATTTTTGTGCGGCTTGTTATTCGCGGTGGGGAAATGCAATTACAATGCCTGATTTTATATTATTTACGATTCCCATGCGGACATTCATTATTTATTTGCTGTCAATCTGTCCATCAACACATTAACTAAACACACACACACGCATTCCCACCTGCGAAAATTCAAACAAAGGATAACAAAGTCATAGCCAAAAATACAATGGCCCACGGAATTGTGAGGGAAAAATTAAATTACATATTTAACCATTGCAATGCAAATTTTCCGACTAAATAATAGAAAGGGAAAGCGCGCAATATCCAGGTAGCATACCACCCATATTCCTGGCGCATCGTAAAATTGCCGAGATCCAAACCGCACTCAAAGAAATTATGCGAAAACAAAACTGCCGGGTTAGGGAAAAATCGCACAAGTGGGGAAAACAAAACAGAGCCCCACGAAAGGGAAAATGCGGGAAAAAAAGAGCAAAAGGGCACACACACACACCCACACACACACACCCACACACACACAATGTGGGGGAAATCATAAAAGAAAGGCGCGATGCCAGCGACGCGAATGAGCAAACAGCCTTAATAAAAATTTCATTTCCTTAATCAAATGCATTATCAAATTACAAAAACAAAAGCAACGTCCTCAGAGATACTGGGCGTGGCGGTATAAAAGAAAATTTCGCTCTGCGGTTGGGCTGAAGAAAGGATGAAAGTTCCACCTGCCCGATGACAACCGACAACGCATATCCTCGATTGGCCTCGCCATGTGGAAGCCTCAGCCCATTTAAGTCGAGCAGATAGCTCCAAAATGTGGAAGAGATATAGCCTGTGTGGCTCAGTAGACTCAGCAGAAATCTTAAAGGAAAATGCAAAGAGTGAAGTAAAATTACAGGGAAAACTTTAAAGCGATGCCCATTTCACCAGCGTTGAATTTTGGTTGTGCAAAAACAGTCCATTTTAACACTTGTAAGTTTTCCTGCTTCGCGAACACATCAATCTGAAATGTTTAAAAAGGTGAAAAAACTAAATTTATAATTTTAGAGAATCCCGATTGAAGTAATAATTTTCAGATCAGTATTTAAAATAAATACGGTTAAAGGACTGTTTTATTTTTGCCATAAATTCAGTTGAAATTTTAGATACTTTAAGTTAAAGTAAAGCCAGCTCAACAAAAATTCGTTTTAATTTACTAAGCTCTAAGTTTTTTTGCCTTGTCAAGACATAGACTTTAAATTTGTAATATTTATTTAATTTTGTTATTGCTCACACTAACTTAATGGGTTTTTTGTTTAAGGCATATATTCTATGAACTGTGCACTTCAGCTACCTTAGGCTTAATTTTGCGTGTTGCTCTTGGGTGCGTCTGATTCTAGTCCACCAGTCTTTTGCCACCCACTTAGTTGCCCAACCAAGGCTTTGAATTTATAAGTGCACTCCCCATAGTTCCGGCAATGTTCTCCTATTTTCCGCAATTTTTCATGAAGGTGGAAGGGGGAGGTTTCGTCTGGTGCTCGCTCGTTCAGCCAACCAATAAACACGACGCTTATTTCGTTATAAGCTAAAAAGTCAATGATTGCATTTGTATTCTGTTAGATTTCTGCATCGAAATTATGCCAACGTCTGGCCCTGTCCCTTCTGCAATTACCTCCCCATTTCCCTCTATTTGTGTACACTGAAAAATGTATATTCTCAAATAGTTTTTCTGTTGTGACATACTTAAGGATTGGACTTATAAAGTTTAAAGATAGATTTTCTTTAAATACTACATATAAGAGATTATATTTGAAACTTCCGCACATTTTCTTTCATGGTCTCAAAATTATTTAATATTTTTAGGCTTTATTAAATTGTTCCAATAAACATATGCAAAAATACATAATTTATATTAAAAACAATTTAAGTGCTAGCCCATTTTACTCAAAGCTAGCTTTTCGTTTTTGTCCGAAGTCACGCTTGTTTTTAAATACTTAATAGTTGTTAAATTAAATATTTTTTTATTAGAAAAAAATGTTTAAAATTATATGTAAAAAATTTGTTTCTGATCCTGCGGAAAACCTTTAATGATAATACTGCTAAATTATCACTTACTAATTTTAGTCCAAGTGTTTAGGAGGTCTGTTTAGCCTGTTGTTGCCGAATGGACGGCGGGTGTTGAGGGGTGGGTGGTGGGTGGATGTCCTGGGAGTAACTGTGGGAGTTGGGTGGTTGCAGTTCAGCCCGGCAGCTTGGCAACCTCGGCAAGTGCAAAGGCCTTTTGCGTGGCAAGGAAATTAGAAATGGAAATTATTATCGTAATTCGTAATGTTGCTGCTGCCATAGTTGTTGTTGTTGTCTGTTGCTGTTGCTGTTGCACTGTTGTTGTTGTCTGTTGCTGTTGCTGTTGCTGTTGCACTGTTGTTGTTGTCTGTTGCTGTTGCTGTCATGTAATTACACAGCACCCAACCCGAAGAGTCGAGGCGAGAACGTTGATTGTTGTTATTAGAAGTAGTTTGCTGCTGCTCTTCTGCTTGGCTCCACTCTTGTTTTTGTTGCCCCAACGAACCGTGGAGACTCCGTCCTTGTGCCGCCGGATCCAAGTCCCCCTTCCCTTGGCCTCCACTCGAAGGGAATTTATGTGGCGGAAGCCCCCCAAATGCTGAATGTGGTGCAAAATTCGACTTTAGTCAGGACTTTCAAGGGGGACTAAGTTGTCGTTAAAAGTCGGCAAACAGTTGTCTTTAACGGAAAGTTCTCAAGGGTAAACTAAGATCGTAATCACTGCAGTTTATTTACAATTTACTTTAAAGGTTGTAAGAATACTAATTAAACTATAACAAAGTAAATGTATTTGATTTAAAGTAATCACTTTGCAATCATGTTGCTTTAAATATTCAGTAGAAAAAGAGAAATTATAGATTTAATAATAGAAAGTTAGATACACATAATTTCTTATATTTTGAATTGCAGGATTTGCTGTTAACCTTTTAACCTTTTTAAGAATCACAAAATTTTAATATGTACGTTTTTTTTTAATACTAAGCTGTATTATTTTAAGTACTTTAATTAGTTGTTAGGCATATCTTAAAAAATGGACTCTCCAATATTAATGAGTTATTTTCAATCATAACTTTTGCCCTGCAATTTGGTTCATTGGCCTGGCACATAGGAAATACCATATTATTGAGGGTAACTCCCCTTTTTGTTATTGCTGCACAAAAGGTTAATAGTCGCCCGGGGACAATGACATTGCGTTGGAGGAGGAGCCAAAAAGCCACCAGAACGAGGCCTAAAAAGTTAGGCAAAGTGCGAACTGCCAGGCAATCGATAAAAGTACCTTCATATGCAATCGGGCGGGCCCAAAAACAGGGCCAAGTACTTCCGCTATCTACGCAAAGGAAAGGTTCTGGGTTTGCTGTTGCAGCTGAGTTTTCCTATCGCTTCCGCTTTGGTTTTCCCCTGCAACGCAAGTGTTGTCTGCCTTTTCCACCATTTGCTTAAGCCCCTTAAAAACGGAAACTAGAGGGAGAAATACAATAAATTTAATTGCCTACTTTGTTGTTGGACTTGATTCCGGGTTGTCCTCTCGTCTTAACCTGTTTTCCCTGCCAGTTTTCCGCTTGCGAAATGGAAAATGCCACCCATTGATTTTACAAACGGGCAACTGCCAAAAAGAACGAGGCGAAAGAATAAATAAATTTGCATTTGGCCGAAGCCAATCGCCCCGATTTCCCAAGCTTTATCTCTGGCTTTCATTTCCAGGCGGATTCCGTCTAATTGATTCAATTTGTATTCATTTTGGGCTCTCGGCAAATGCAGAATGTTCCCCAGGCGCTGAGTTTGTAATTAAAGAAAAACCAAATATTAATATTAAACAATTTACATTTATATAGCTACATTTTCAAAAGCCTGTTTAAAGCAAAAGCCTGGGTAAAGCAAAAAAAAAAACCACTTGATAAAAGGAAATTATTTTTAAACTGATTCCATGAACTATTTTGAGTCAATACCCGTTCGGTTTGACAACTTCTAATCTGGTTCTTGATAAGATAATTCGTTTGCTTTACCCTTTTAAACGGTTATTATAGTTTTAGGCAAAGGTTTGCAAAGTAGTCATTTCTGATAAGGAAAAGAAATACATTTCTAACCTCCATAAACAGGAAATGTTTTAATACTTATTTTAGAGTATATACAATTCGTCATCTCGAAGTTAGTCTTATTTCTTTTTAGTTAATCAATAAATAAACTCAAATATACAATTTAGTCTGCGTTCGTCCGCCAACTACTACGGCCATTGAATTTCCTGACATTATGAATACAAGCAGTAATTCAGATGACGAAACCACCTTTGAAGAGGTAACATAATCGTTAATATAAATGTAATATTTAATTCAATTAATTTTTGTACTCTTTTTAGGCCAATCATTGCGATTGTAATCAGCTCGGCAATAAAGTTGACACCCGAATTCTTGAACTTGAAAATAAATTGCGAAGGTCGGAAATCGATTTGATAATTGCTAACGAAAAGATCTTTATATTCGACGATAAAATAAAGGACAAAAATGACATAATAGAAGTTCTAAAAATGTCCAACTTGGAATACAAAGAAAAGATTGATACCCAAGCTAGAACAATTAAAAAGCTTGAAGAGGAATTGTCCCAAATAAAACAAGAAAAATTAGAACATGGTCAGGAAATTAAGAAACTTAAAAAACTTCTCAATGAATTCACTACTAATAAATCTACTTCTGCAAAGTTAAGATCAAAAATATTTTTTTTAAAAGAAAATGAAAAGAAGAATATGGAAGTTATTGTTTCTCTCAAGGCCGAGATAAAGGAAAATATGGAAAAGATACATTCTCTAACTGTTGACCTTATACAAAAAAACGAAGAAGAAAAAAGGAATAAGGATCAATTAGATTCCCTTAGGGCTCAAATAATCAATAAAGATGAAATAGAAGCCGAGAATAAAAACCTTATATCAACACTTAAAACTCAAGTAAAGGAGAAAGATGATCACACAGCACTTTTGGAGTTGGGATTGAACTTGGAAACTATTAAAAATAAGGAGAAGGATGATATATTAAATGACCAGGCAGCTACAATTTTGAAACTGAAATCCTATCAGGAAAAACCAGAAGAAAACTAACAACTTATAGCGTGCCTTAATGCAAGTACATATGTAAAGAGCATTGCATTTATAATTAAAAAAACTATTTGTGCATAGAATTAAAAAAATAATAATAAAAACTATATGTGATTAAATGACAATAAAAATATATAATATTAAGGGCATTCGGAATTTTTATTCTCCAAAAAGGTTTTTTTTAAGACCGTAAACAACTTATAAAAACGGGCAGATAACAAGTTCGGCAAAATAAATATTTTTTGCCTGCGTTTCTGTTAGTCAGTCCAAACTTTCGCTTTGATAGGTCGTGACAGTCGTGACAGAAAAAATGAACAAAGATTTCGGTTTCAGTGGAACCAAAAAGATAAATAACTTGAACTTTTATTGTTTAAATGAAATATTTCGTCAGATCGAAATTAACTGCGCTGCCAGTGATAGCAAGGATTATTTGTTAAAGTACATTGATCTTATCCACTTTACAACCAGCTGCGAGAGATTCACCAAAGTGTTCAAAGAATGGAGCCCCGATCTTTACCAGAAACTATGCATTCAAAATATCTTTTTAAATAGTTCTCCTAGGATAGAGATCGATTTCTCCAACCTACATGCCCATATGCAAAAACTTTCGGTTAAAGAAAAGAAAATATTCTGGACTGATTATCTCAATAACATCAAGGAGAATGAACAACTGGAATCCTTAAAACTTATTTATGAACCAACGCGTTACTACCGTGAACATTTAGACCTATTCGAAGACCTCATAAAAAGCCTCAAAAATAAGACAAAATTACGGGAGCTTATTGTTAAAGTAAAAGGTGAGCTAATATAAAAAGTGTTTTGGAGCTGTTGTATTTCTAATATGGTATGTAACCAGGATATAGATTTGAAAGTGTTCCGGAGATCAGGCATCTGGAAGTCCTCCAACTAGATGTCCCAATGGATGCCAATATCCTGCGCCAGTTCTGCGAATCAAATCCAAATTTACGCAAACTCAAGCTGGGCAGCAACCATTTATATGGCAGATTATCGGATATAGTGCCGTATTGCAACCAACTAGAGTACCTGAGTTTTCCGATGAAGCTGGGTGTAGATGCCGCTGAGTATGCGGCACTTGCCCAACTTCCAATACTCCAAGAACTAATACTTTTTGGCGAGCATCAGGAGGGATCGCTAGTGAAGCTTTTTCAAGGACTAGCAGAGAAGCAGATCGGAGCCATGGGCATCTACCAAAAAGGTATGCAGGAGATATCACTATTGAAGCAGGTCCGAAGGATATGCATCCCAGAAACGTATGTCAGCACCGATGAGGCCTTTGCCCTGGTCTCAAACCCCCTGTTGGTCTCACTCAAGTGCTGCTTGAGGGATGTGTCCATTTATCCGGACTTACCTTTAAACGGAAACCTCACTGATATCTGCCTTATAAAGGATCCAAGGATATATGATTACGAAATGGATCGCCTTAGAGTTACTTTGCGAGGAAATCGCATTTCAAACGAGGAGGCAGATGCATTCTATCAATCGTGGAAGTCCAAAGATTCAGAGCTAGAGTTGAAAGCTTTAAACCAAGATTATGGACATGTTCATCGTCTTCGCATCGAGGGTAAATATGAAACCACCACTTTGTCTTCTGTAATATCATCTCTATCCTTTCTGTACTTCATCGAGAAGATAGTTCTCTATAAGAACGATCCGATTTCCGAGGAAGAAATTGCCACGATGGCTGCCATACCGACGCTTACCACCATCCGCTGTTCCTTTCGGCAGATACAGAATATGATCGTCGTCAAATTGCGACAGCTCGAAAGTATAACTGAGGCAGCGAGACGAGTGGATCGCATCAGAACCGAATTTTTCGAGATTCGTTTGATCCATGGACACGAGTCAGTGACTCTAAGTCTGGACTTTTTCGAAAAGGCTTATGGATTTAATGCGAGAATCTTTGCACCACTAGCAAATGTGCGAAACATACAACGGCTTGTGATCAAGGGGATCTCCATAAACGGCTCATTAGTAGCGCTAATCAAAAGTTTTACCTCCTTGGAAATGCACATTCTGCAAGAATTGGAAGCTGAATTCCTCGATCCAGAAGAGCTGGCCGAGATGGTACAAATCCGTAGCCTAAGGATCCTAAAGTGCGGTTTCTTTTGTTCCAGGAATATTGATAAGCTGGCCGCGTTGAGTCAACTCGAGACGTTAATCCTCACCGTCCACCCACAAGGATCTCTGAGAAAGTTTTTTAAGATTCTTGCCTCCAAAGAGGTTCCAATGCTTAAAAGCCTCATTATTCAGAGGACAAAACTGGTTTCCAAAGAAATTGTCGAGCTTGCTGGCCTAAGATCCTTGGAGAGATTGCAGCTGGGCCTGCCAAAAGTACAAAATTGGTCGCAGTCCGTATCTGGAAAAACTGAAAATGACGGCATTAACTATTGTCAAAAGTGCCGTTTGCCCCCGAGTTCATCTAGTTATGTAGATCATCAAATCCATTTTCATACTCTGACTTCTGGGCAGTTTGTTTTTTTAACGGAATTGTATGATAGCTTAACCCCGGTCAACTTGGAACTATTGGGAAATCTGCCAAACCTACAAGAACTTAGTATTTACTTTGATTACAAAGCCCAAGCTGTGGAAAATCTGTTGAGGACTTTTGCATTGAAGTCCCCTCAAAAGCTGCAAAAACTTTCATTTTCATCGCAAGACTTTAGGTTGATTGGGATTTTAGAGGACTTGCAGTCGCTCGAGTGTGTTTTCTACCACATGAAAGACATTGAATGCATAGCACTTCTCGGAAATCTTACAGAGTTACAGATAAATAACCCCTTGGATATTTCTTTGTGGGAGCTCATCAAGGAACTCAAGATTTTACCGAATCTTCAGTGTTTGCTTTTTAATGATACAGATCTGGTATTTTTTGATCTTGTGGAACTAACGAACTTAAAAAGACTCAAGCGCTTAAGACTTGGCCTCGCCGTTAAAACGTTTGTCTTTATGCTGATCCAATTGAAAAATCTCGAAGTTTTGGAAATCACATCGACTCATTACGCGACGATAGATGAAAGCAACTTTATTTATTCATTTCTCGTGTCATGCCCAAATCTTAGATCGATATCTCTGTATCGATACTATGGCTTCATAACACAAGCGTATGTGAATGGCATAATAAACCATTGTAAGATTTTTAGAAATCCGAACAAGGACCCGTTATTCAAATTGCGTGGGATATGGAGTGATTTTACAAGTTTAAGTCAGGTGAGCTCTTTTTTCGGGGAACTCCCGAATTTTGTAATACCTAATCTATTCCTCATTTCAGTTGTGCAAATACAATGAAGAGTTTATGGAATTAGTGCGGGTTGATAACACTTATCAACATGGTGAAGAGTCCGATGAAGACTGTGATATTGCCACTTAAATAATGATTAAATAAAAACGAATAAATGACTAAGTAAACCAAAATATTTACTTTAACTTAAATGACAATATTCGTGAGTTTTGTTTGATGTTTTACATCAAAATTTTTATGGCAATGTATATCTAGCCGCGATGAAAGGTGTGCATACCGTCTGAAATCAAGTGTAGTGCTGGAATAGAACCAAACTTTCGAGGATTTTCTCCGACCTCGCCATCGTTTACTTATAATTTCCATTATACTTAATGTATTATATTGTTTAGTTACGATATATGATAAGGACTAAAGTACATTTACTATAATTTTACAATAAAATTAAAGCGGAAATTTAACAACGACTGTAATATCGTACCAATAAGCTTTTGTCAGTAAGTGACGTCATCATGCGAGATTTTTGAAAACAATGTAGAGCTGTTTTTCTTAAATATCTCGCAGAACATTTTATTCAAAAAATTGGCGCCATCTTTTGAATTTTTTAAAACCATACACGTTGCTATAATATTTCGTGTTTTATACAAGATTGGGAAATTTGTATGTAAAAGAATGTTAGTGAGAATTTTAAAAAAGATTGTCCCTTCTTGTTATTTTTCCATAATTTTACAAACAGGGAAAAATATTTTTTTAAAACCTGAAAAATTAATTATTGTACAGCCACAGGGAAATTTTAAATGACAAAACAATTTTTTATTAATTATAGTTAAGTCGGATGCCTTTAATTTGCCAGTTATTTGGTCCACATTGTGTGTAGTTTTAAGCTAAACGCTCTAACTGCCCCGTGGAAAAATCAATTTTATTAACGGTAATTGTCTATAGTTTTACGGTCTTATTCACACATTTTTAGAAAATTAAAAGGAACTTGAGTACAGTAAAATTCAAACGGAAATTTCACAAGGACACTCATATCGTACCAATGAGCTTTTGTCAGTAAAAAACGCCATCAGGGGAAATATAGTTACTTTTTAAAATATACGATAGGGTCTTCGCAGGTATATTTACTATATTCTTTGGGATTTATTTATGTTTATTTTTATTTACATTAAAATGTTACAGTAAAATTAAAGCGGACACGAATATCGTACGACTTAGCTTTTGTCAGTAAACAACGCCATCCCACGAGATTTAAAAAACATCGCAGACATGTTCTTAAAAATCTCGCAAGATGGCGCCAACTCCAAGAAAAAATATCATTCTTTAAGCAAACACTGAGGTCGGAAAACTGAGAAATCGGGGAAAAACCGCGGAAGCTCAGTTTGCCGGTCTGGTAATAGTAACAACAACAGCAATATAGGATTATCCTACGTGGGACAAATTTCACAAGCCAATCTTTTTGATTTAAGGTAAGATTTTCCTATTAATAAAACAAATACATTTTTTTAATGTATGTATATATTTTTATATTACCATTTATTAATGTTTGCATCAAATTTTTTTCCTATCGATACACATATTTCAATACCATTCTCCTTACAAATTTAGCCAAAGAAATAAATATAAAAGCAACAAAATAAGTTAAGGCCAGCCTTTGCACTTGATGGCTTACAATGCTTACAACACTTATGGTACCGGACATTCAGAAAACTCACATTCTTCTAGTTTATGCTACGATAACTTAACAAAACACTGTAATCTAAATTATTTGTTTACTTTTCCCATTGTTAATCTGCCTTTGAGTATAATATGCTTTTCAAGTTAACATTAGTTGCCTGCATCTGCAGTTATCCATTTCTCACTCTTACAAAAATAACCAGGCCTTTTTTCCAATCACCATTTCACACTTAATACATATTTACTTTAGGTCAACAGGTTTGCAATTTGAAATCCATAGCACTTGTTTGGAGTATATTCGGAGATTAATATGTAGGTACTCTAGAATATTTGAAATCAAACTGAAAGCACATATACCCTAGACACTCTATAGTAATAGATATATAGTATATAGTACATATAGGAGTAGTATTGCCTATAGTAAGAAGTTTTGCGCTTGCTAAAAACTGGAATCTTGGTTCACATTTTATATATTTTATCTTGAGCTTTAAGTATATATTTGGAAAATTTTACATTTTACCTTTCCTATAGCCATTACAGAAGCTCTACAAAATTGAATAAAAAAGGTATTTCAATGATCAAATTTGTTTGCTTTTCAATTGCTTCTTTTATAAAAAGTTGTCAAAAATTGAGGTATCTTAAAATTATTTTAAAGAATATTGCTACTGCTGCACTATTAATACAAATTCAATAGCGGGAATAAATCAGTTATGGTTTTTCGCTTTCTTTGATATTGATTTGAAATTGCTTAAAAAATAATAATTATACCTAAAATTTGAATAGCAATCTATACAATCAGTTTACACCGAGGCTTGAAACAAACTTAGAAAGAATGATTTTAATATAGATATGGCTGTGTAGAAATTTGAGTTGTCGTTTTTTTTTCCAAATCTTTTTAAAGGATAAAATCTTCCTTAGATATTATCGAGCAGTGCATCTGGCGTCTGAGGATCTGTGGTCATCTCGTCGCTGATATCGCCCACCGAACTGGTGACGGTGGACAGGATCGAGGAAATGGTGGCATTGATGACCTCGGCACTGCCGGCGGCCACCGTGCTGTAGAGCGCCAGAGCCGTGGTGGTGATCACGGTGGCCAGGGCCGGACTGGCGGTGCTGGTGGTGGAACTGGTGGAGGGCAATCCAAGGCTGGCCAGCGTGGTGTTGAGCAGGAGTGGGGCCAGCGTGGTGGCTCCCGTGGTTGGCGGACTCATCGTACTGGTGCTAGTCAGCGGCAGCGGATGCGGCAGGTGGCCATGTCCATGGCCGTGCCCGTGGAACTGCTCCAGCATCGAGGCGGGCACATAGGGATATGTGGGACAGGGATTCACCAGCTGCGGCCCCAGCATGCTCTCGAAAACGTATCCAATCAGGGAGCCCACCGTCAGGCCCACATTGTATGACAAGGTCATTATATTGCCAGTGACCTCCTTGAGCGTTCCCGGCACCTTTGCGGGGGCCAGCATCATGGGCAGGCTGCCCGCCAACCCATTGGTGATGCCCAGTGCGATGGTGAAGACAAAGGGTGCCGTCTCGCCGGAGATCACGGGTCGCTGGCGGGGCGCACAGCAGAGGAGCAGCAGCGGGACGAGGACGATCCGGAGGCCGGACAGCAGGATCAGCTGGCGACGCGACCAGGGATACGGACTGGCGGCCAGGATCTTGCCCACCACGTCCGACGTGTTGAAGCAGAACATCAGCAGCACCGGCATCCAGGAGCGGAGGGCGCATGACTGCACCTCCACCTCGATGCCCGGATACAGGGAGAGGGTCACGCAGTAGGCGAGGGCGATGCACACCATGTGCGGATAGATCACCTGGGCCACCCGCCACCGGGTCACGAATCCCTCGCGGATGTCGCCCAGCTTGCTCGGCCGGCAGCGTCGAGGGGTTATCACGTGCTCCACCTTAAAGAAAGGTTGTTTTGTGTTTTTGAGCAAAATAATATTTATTGTGTGCTGAGAAACACACACATAAGTATACATCACCTCAAAAATATAAATATAAAATAAAACATAATTAAAATAAAACTACGTATCCCACTATATACTTTTTGTTAGCTATTATCAATCAGTGCCGCAATATTAAATAATTCATAATTTGTTTGTCTCTTTGCCACTAAAGAAAAATAACCCATAAATAAATGCATTAACGCCAGTTAAGTATAACTAGGACTTAGATAATTAATGATAATGATAATGATTTGAAAACAGTATTGTAATTAGTAAACGAGTTTGTGTGAAACCCACCTTGAAAGCTACCGTCGTGGGCGTTGTGGGCTCCTGGGCGGGGGGCGTGGCAGGGAGCTCAGGCAGTTGGCCCAAGGACTCGATGCTGCTTTCGCCGGCTGTCGGATTGGACAGCTCGTAGACGGGATTGCTGAAACTCAGGGTATTTCCGGTGCCTGGAGGACCCACCGATGTGGTCGTGGTATGCGTGCCATCCATCGAGAGCACACCGTATCGAGTACTACTTGCAACTCCATCAATCTCCTGCTATATTCGAAAAAAGGCGGGAAAAATGCAATTCAATTTTTAATTTTTAAAATGCTTGGCCTGTTGTTTTTATACCCTTGCAGAGGGTATTATAATTTCAGTCAAAAGTTTGCAACGGGCATCGAGTGAAGGAGACATTTTCGACCCTATAAAGTTTTAAAGCTATCTGCTTGAAACTTTCCCAAAAGTTGTCTTTCTATTGCAGGTAGTATAAAAGTCGGAACGAGCCGAATCGGGTGACTATATCATTTAGTTCCCACAGAAATAATCGGAAAAAAAATTCAAAAAGTATAACATTGTTGTTTTTAATTTGTTTCATTTCTCTTTGGGATATTTTAATACTAATTACGGTTTTAATTAAATTAAAATCGGACTGTTATATCATATAGCTCCCATAGAAGATTTCGAAAAATAACTACACGGGTATATCAGGTCCGGCTTGCCGAAGTTTACTTCTTGTCTTGTTATACCCTTGCAAAGGGTATTATAATTTTGGTCAGAAGTTTGTAACGCAGTGAAGGACGCGTTTCCGACCCTATAAAGTATATATATTCTTGATCAGGATCAATAAGGGAGTCGATATAGCCAGGTCCGGCTGTACCGTTTGCGAGCTAAGTTTAAAAGCTAGCGATCTGAAACTTTGACAATCGTCCTAAAACATGTCTACGCAGATCAAGTTTGAAAATCGACCCGATCGGACGTCTTTATCCTACAGCTCCCCCCTTTCACCCTCCCCTTGAAACCTTACTACCCACTCGGGCGGAAAGTATGACGCCGTCCCTTATTTGTTCGCTGTATGGAATAGGCAATACAATGCTTTTTCGAACTTTTTCCACAACAATGGGGACAATGCAATTTTAAAAGAAACAAGAAAGCTTATAAAGAAACAAGAAAGATATTACAAATCGACTACATTTCGATTTCTATGCCTATAATACTAAAAACAATGAAGCTACATATGTCGATTTTGCGCTGCATTTTGCCATCGTTTCTATGACAGCTATATTATATTGTTGGCCGATTTTTATTTAATTAAAACCATAATTCCATTATATTTACATATTACCAAATCTCAAAAAACAAAACAAAACAACAGAGTTATAATTTTTTTGAATTGTTTTTTTCCGATTGTTCCTATGGGAGCTACTGTATATGTATATGTATATATATATGGACTGTATATTACATATCGGCTAATGTGAGCTCGGTAGCCGGATACGTTTACAGAGAGCAGAAAACGAAACAAACAAACTCATAACCAAATTATATAACTTCCATAGGAAAGATCGCAAAGTCCATCGGAAAAACAAGTTTTAGTTTTTATAGAAATTGAACATATGTATATGTAAGTAGTTAGTTGCTATAGTAACAATCGGAAAGTCGGCTTAACTTTTTATACCCTTGCAGAGGGTATTATAGTTTTAGTCAAAAGTGTGCAACGCAGCGAAGGAGACATCTCCGACCCTATAAAGTATATATATTCTTGATCAGGATCACCTCCTGAATTGATATACAGTATGTCAAGAAACACTTTACACACTGAAGATTGTCTTTATATTTTGACTTTGCATGCAAAAATAACCAAAGTGTGGCGCGAGGCACTTAGAGCACAAGAGAACCGCAACATTATTCCGACAGTTAAATTCGGAAAATTGTTGGTCATGATTTGGGGATGCATCAGCAGCAAAGGGGTCGGAGAAAATACTACGAATGCTGAGCAGTATCTTCGAATTTTAAAGACCCATTAAGGCCCAGTGCTGAAAAATTTGGCTTTATTTCCGACAATAAGCCTAACTTTAAGTTCTACCAGGATCACGATCCCAAGTATAAGGAGCTGAATGTGCGGAATTGGCTCCATTACAACTGCGGTAAGGCGATCCATACACCACCCCAGAGCCCCGACCTTAACCCTATTGAAAATTTGTGGGCTTTCCTGAAGAAAAAAGTGGCAAAAAGGCAGCCCAAAAATCGTCAAACGTTCAAAACGGCGGTAATAGAGGAGTGGCAAAAAATACCATTGGAATATGATATGCCAAAGTTAATCAATTCAATGAAAAAACGGATCCAGCTTGTTGCTAATGCTAAGGGGGGTCATACAAAATACTTACTCTTACTCTCTCTCTTTCTCTTAATATTTAGATTTAAATTACGATAATTAGTTTTGACAGTTTCTTGACAGTATGAAAAATGTGTATTCTCATGTTTAAGTTAATTATTATGTTCCTATGAATTGCTATGTTTTTGATTTTACACTCATTAATTAAATGGTCAAGACACGCCCACTTTCTTATGATAGTTTCTGTAAGTCTATAGTAACATAATCCAAAAAACTGCAGTGAAAAATCTCTTTTCGTTTACTCGTAATATTAAATGCCAGATAAAGTGGCCATTTACCCCATAGTGCATTGCCTGCTCCGATCAAAATAAAGATATTAAATAAAAATATACTTTCTTGTTCTTTTCGCTACTTTTTCAATTTTAGCAATTTCGGCAAAGACTGCAAGGGTATTAAAACTTCGACTTGCCGAGGTTAGCTTCCGTCCTCGTTTTAAATCATTTTTACACAGACAATTAGGAGACATTCATCTGCCAATGAGTTGAATGAATTCGGCTGCGAATTGCAATGAATGTGAATGAATGTGTGCGCCGCCGCTGTACTCAACTCATCGAACTCACACAAAGAGAGAGCGAATTGAATGCCGAAAGAACCGGGTAAAAATAGTGAGTGCGATGAATGACGCATTGTTTTCTTTTACGTGAGCTGTATTTACTATTGCGAAATTAAATAGGATAAGATAATACAATGTTTATTTTCATTTCATGTATGTATATTTCGCTTAAAAACTAATTATTAAATTTTCCTTATTAAATATTATTTATATTAGAATGTAGAAACATCATTTTATTTATGCTTTCTGGATTTTTCTGGTATCAGAAAAAGCTCTCTCTCTCTCGTAATAAGCGGCGCACAAATTGTATTCTGAGTATTCAGTCAATTCTTCTTTGCTGCATTCATTCATTTATTCCGTTTTGCACACACATTCATTTAATGCCATTTCAAAATTGCGCTCAAATGAGAATACAGTGCGATGCGAACTCGATCAGCTGAATGCGTTTAGTACTGAGAGAGTGCAGCCGTGCAGCTCTCTAATGTGTAAGTACTGATAGAAAAAAGTCATTTAGTAACGCTTTAGAAACTGTTTCGATTGGTCGTGGCTTGCGCTTGAAAATTACCATTATGGACAGAACAACCATATTTTCACTAAACTATTATTGTTTGTTCTTGATATTTGAAAATATAAAAACTAACTGCGAGACTGAAAGAAACTTAAAAAGAGAAAATATCATTGATATGTATCGGGATCTTATCAATTTCGTAATCAGCTGTGTTGAGTTCCAAATAGCTTTTCGAAATTGGAACAAGAAACTTTTTGACGATCTTATCGGTTATTATGTTGAGCTAAAAATAGCTTTTCGAAATGCGAACAAGAAACTTTTTGACGATCTTATCGATTATTTTCAATTAAGAGTCGCCGATGATGTATCAGTCCATTTTTCGGCAATATATAACTCATTGCAAAACGTTTCAAAAAAGGACAAGGATCACTTTTGGAATTACTTCACAACCGCGATTAAGGAAAACGTAAACATGCAATCACTCGAATTGTATTATAAATCGACAGAATACCATCCCGAACATTTGGATAGGTTACAGGCAATCATGCATTCCCTTAAAAATAAGACTTTGCACAAACTCGATGTAGATTTTGGTGAGTTGTTCTATAAAAAGGTTATGATTTATGTTAATCTAAGCACTTGGAGTTTTCAGGCTCTGATTATAGCTTCGAAAATTTTGGTACATTCGGTCACTTGAGAAGTCTCAAAGTTAATGCGCGCATGTGTGCCTATGATTTGGTACAGTTGTGTCGATCAAATCCGAATTTATGTGATATCACTTTCTACAGTACCGAATTATATGGAAGGTTTTCGGATATCGTGCCATACTGCAGTCAGCTAAAATGCCTGGAGTTATTGATGAAACCCGACGTCGATGCTACAGAGTATGCCACGTTGGCAAATTTACCCCAACTTGAAGAATTGTGGCTTGGTGGGATACATCAAGAAGGCACGCTGACTGAGTTGTTTAATGGCCTCAAACTAAAGGGCGTAAAAAAACTATGTATACCTAAAAGTATGCTCAGTAAACAAGAAACTCAGGCTCTAGCACAGATAAGGTCGATAATCGCCATTTGGAGCGCATTTAGTGATGACAACATTATTTGGAATTTAGCTCATATTCCAAATCTCGAATCCATTACAGTTTTTACTAGACCTGAGCAATACAACATAATGGTTCAATTTAAAAATGTGCTAAAGAAAGTAGTAGTTATCTTAATTACTCCATTCATGACATTGTATTTGATATCCCCTGGCCCTAAGCCAGGGAATCTTTTCCTGAATCTTGAAATCCGTCGATTTTTCTATGGTGAAGAACATAATGACGAAATTTCTAGTGACATCCTCAATTTTATAACTCCTCTTTCTCAACGAATAGAAGTCAATGAATTGCATACAATGGGTTTTAGTGGCTTTCTGCAAGCTCTGCTTCAGAGTTTAGCGAACCAGAAACTAAGAAATGTATACATACGTGAAAAAATAAGCATGGAAGAAGCTGATTCACTCGTTTCCATTCCGTCTTTAAATAATATAATTTGTTACCATAATTTGGAGGAGATAATTCTAATGAAATGTAAACAACTAGATGGAATTAAGAACACAGAAACCCGAGTGTATCGATTTAGAAATCCAGAGTGGTGGGCTCGTATAATCCATGGCAATTTTTTAACACTTATTGTGGACTTTTCAGAGTGCTCTTTCCGTTTTTTCTGTCCTCTAGCAAATTTTAAAAACTTAAAAAAACTAGTTATAAAGGGTTATTATATGTGTGATTCCTTAACACTACTATTCAAAAGATTTGAAGAAAATCGAAACCTAGAGGACTTGGAAATGGATATAATTGATACCACAGCTCTTCATGGGTTGGCACAAATCAGCAGCATAAAAGTGCTTAAGTGTGGTTTTTTTTGTTCCCGTGCTTATCGAACTCTGGCTAATTTAAATCAACTAGAGTCGCTAACTATATCTTTACAACCAAATGGATCTCTAAAAAGACTTTTTAACCTTCTTGCTGACGAAGAACAATATCGAAATTTACAGGCAGATATTTCCATTGATGAAGCTACCGCAAACAATTTGAAAACCTTGCAAACGATATCTAGATACTGGTATAGGCCAAGTCATCAATGTGAAGATATTTTACAAAATCTCACCGATTTGCGTCTTCATGGAATCTCCATGTGGGGTCTTCTCAAGGAACTAAAAGTTTTATCCAGTCTTCAAAGCTTGTTTTTGGATAACTCACATTTGGATTTTTTAGATATTGTTGAGTTGACTAAAATAAGTTGGCTGAAACATTTAAGACTCGGCCTTACCGATAAAAAATGCATCTTAATGCTGATCCAATTAAAAAATCTGGAAGTCTTGGAAATCACATCGACTCATCACGCAGCGGAAGATGAAAGCAACTTTATTCTTCCATTTCTCGAATCTTGCCAAAATCTTAGATCTATAACTCTTCATCGATACTATGACTTCTTAAGTAAGGATTATCTTAACGGAATCTTAACAGTTATAAAGCTCCTTAAAGACCCTGAGACTAATCCGCCATTTGAATTAGTTGGAATGTGGTGTGATTTCGAAAATCTAAATCAGGTAATTTAATGTGTAGAACTCAAGAAAAATGTCGTTAATTTAAAATTTTAGCTACACGGATATGATGACGCTTTCCTACTGCTGAGACGCATTAAACAAGAAGAATTTGAGTCTGATGAAGATGACATCGTGTTAAATGACGACTTTTGGGAAAAGTTCGAAATGGACCTAATCAATTACAATGACAATAGTTCGTACTCCGATGAAGAAAACAATTAAATTAATCTGACAAATTTTAATTTAAACGCTTTGATTAATTATTATGGACTCGGTCACTTTTTTTTATGTCCAAACATTTCGAAAGTTAGTAATCAACACTGCTAAAAGTGCCCCATCATTACAAACAGAAATATATATATGTAATTGTATATATAATATTTGCTTGCCCAAATCTTTGTTCCCCTTTCCGAATATAAAGCTTTTGCCTGCGTTGCTCGCTATCTTTATTTATAAGCTTTTAATTTGCTGCTTTTGTTCGCAGCAATCTTAGTATGTTGTATTCCGGTCGGCAAAAAAGAACTGCAACGCGGCTTTGACTAAACTTATAGATTCATCTGTAGAACGCCCCAAACATGGGTGATAAGAAAGCTTATAACGAAATTATTCATAAATAGGTAGATAACTGTGGATTTAAGTTAAAATTGAATCTAATACATTCCTTTGAAAAATTTTGTTTGTAATATTTAAATATTATGGAATTACGATTTTAATTAAATTAAAATCGGACACCAATAGCTTCATTGCTTTCAGTAATATAGGCATTGAAATCGAAATGTTGTCCATTTGTAATAACCGCAAGGGTATAAAAACTTCGGCTTGCCGAAGTTTGCCTTCTTTCTTGTTCATTATAATATAAAGGAAAATATTGTTTATATATTTAATGTGCATACTTAAGCAGAAATAACTGTCATATATTAACTGCACTGACGTCTAATAAAGAATTATATTATTATTTATTTTATATTATTTTATATTGTCAGTTACATCAAGAATGAGTTTTGTTCAAAGCGCCGCACAATTTCAAATATGAGTTCCATGCCAAAAATCTTTAAACTAAACACTTTTTGTTTGTTTGAGATATTCGAACGGATTAAAACGAACTGCGAAGCGTCCAAATGCTTACAAAACAGGTTTAGCCTTGTGAAATATTTGGATCTGATCAATTTTGTCATTTGCCACGAGAGTTTAACGGAAGCCTTTAAAGACTGGAATGCCGATCTATATGAACTTCTTGAGATCGATATTGCCTTTTTAAATAGATCCCCTTGGATAAAGATTGATTTCTCAAAAAGATATGACTCATTACAAAACGTTTCCAGAGCGGACAAAGAAATATTTTGGAAAAGCTTCGTGAATGCGATCGAAGAGAATGAAACGTTGAAATCGGTCAAATTTATTTATAAACCATTCCGATTTTACCCTGAACATTTGGATAGATTTGAGGCAGTCGTAAATTGCCTCAAAAATAAAACCACTTTACACGAGCTCATTGTTGATTTTGCAGGTGAGTTTTTTCCGGAAAATAATATTTATTTATGGAGTTACAAGGATGTGAGTTTACAGGCTATAGCTTTGAGTATGTGCCTCATCTAGTCCACCTGACAAGACTCGAACTGAATGTGCGAATGGATGCCGATGACTTGATCCAGTTGTGCCGTTCAAACCCGAACTTACGGCGGCTGAATTTTCACAAAACGGAGCTACGTGGCCGTTTATCTGATATTGTTCCATACTGCAACCAATTGAGCGATTTGTCTTTCACAATGAAGACCGAAATAGATGGTTCGGAATATTCCGCATTTGCCAACTTACCTCTACTCAGGAAACTGCGAATTAAAGGAAGCCATCAGGAGGGCACTCTGCTAAAGTTGTTAAATAATTTGAAACACAAGCGACTGCGAGAGATACACATTCCAAACATTTCGCTCAGTGAAGGGGAGTCAAAAGCTATATCCGAGATAAGCACATTAACCGTGATTATGACCTCTTTCAGTAATATTTCGAGCATTGCGGATTTGGCAAATCTCACAAAACTCCAGCATTTATCAGTGAAAACTCATCCTGAGCAATGCAATGCAATGGAGTATTTACTAAGGTTGATACCAAAAACTCGCATAGCTTTTATTACGCATAGCAGTAAATTGCTAATCACATTCTTGGAGAAAGGTGGCATACTAAGATTAAACTTTAGGAATGAAAATGATGAATATGCTGATGATATCAATGCAAATCTTATGTCTGCACTGTGCCGGTTACCTAATATCCTTCAATTGATCGTACTCGGAAATATTGGCACAAGGGCGTGGCAAGTCCTACTTCAGGGCTTAGCCTCTAAAAAACCTCAAACTCTTGGCAATATATTGTTTAGAAAAAATACCCCGATTACTTGTGAGGAAGCTGCTTCACTGGCATCCATTCGGTCCTTAATGTCCATAAATTGTGATTTTCACCATTTGGATCAGATAATCGATGTGAAAATTCAGCATCTAAATGGATTAATAGAGGCGGAAAATCGAGTGGATAGGATCAAAACTGATTTGTGCGATGTTCGTATGATCCACGGAAATAATGCTGTGACACTGATCCTCGACTTTATAGCGAAAGATATTAATGCCGACAATTTTTCCGCCCCTGGTCAATGTGAATAACTTGAAGAAAATTGTGGTTATTGGAAATCTTACAAACGGTTCCTTAACTACGCTCTTTGAAAGACTTGTCCCGGACAAAATGCGGAATCTAGAGGAATTGGATATCGCTATAGTTGAACCCGAAGAACTTCGAGTACTGACAAAAATCAGCAGCTTAAAATTTCTCACATGCGGCTTTTTCTGTTCACAAAATTGGGAACTTCTCGCGGAGTTAAAACAGCTTGAGTCACTTAATATTACTGTCCATCCAAAGGGATCTCTGACGAATCTCTTTAATATACTTGCTGACCAAAATATACTTCGAAGTCTCATTATCCAGAGAACAGAGCTTACCTCCGAAGAAGTTGTTGCGGTTTCAGGCACAAAATCTTTAAAGATTTTGCAACTAGGACGACCCTATGACAAAAATAAGTACGAGGTTTTAGGAGAAGTGTTAAGTTATCGCATTTGCCAAAAGTGTCGTTCACCTATTGGGTCACCTATTGAAATGGATCATATGAGGAAAGTCATTTTAAAAATTTGTTGTGTTACGAATGAGGCTGACATGGTTTCTTCAAGCTACTTCGACGTTGATCTATCTTCTCAACCGGACAATTTGGAACTCTTAGCCCATTTGCCACAGTTAACGGAATTGGGCATTCATTTTTTGTTTAAAGCCCGTTGCATAGAAGGCCTAATAAACGCCTTAGCTTTGCGATCTTATCAAACGTTGTGCAAGTTCTCATTGACTCTGAGTGCAATGTTCGTCGAAGACCAATTTGTGAAGAGTATTGCAAAGATTGCTCTACTCCAAAATCTGTCTGAATTACATATTGAAAACAACGAAGGATTCTCCTTGACGGAACTTTTCGATTTACTCAAAACTTCAGCGCAACTTCGTAGCTTAATTTTGGAAAAAACACATATAAACTTCGAGGAAACCTTGGCCATTGGCAACATTAAACGGCTACAAAAACTAGTAGTGGGATTTTCAAATGATGCTAGTTTTGAAGTTTTAGGCCAAATATCTGATCTGGAATATTTGGAAATTATTTCCGTTCACAATAAAATCGAACATAAAATGAGGCCAATTATTAAGTCATGCAAAAAGCTAAGATCGATTCTTCTTAATCATTTGTTGACCAATGAATTTACTAACTCAATTTTGGACATTACAAAATCGGAAAGAGATCCCAACATTCAACCTCCGCTGAAGCTATGTTGTCCAGGTGACAATTCACTTATTCCTGAACGGGTAAATATTTAATCACAAATATTAAAATATGGGGGATAAGAAGAATATGATTATTTTTAGTTGAATGGATGTGATGCAACCTTCTTGGATATTGAGCAGCCCCCTGAAGAAAGTTGGCGAAAAAGTGACGAATTGGAATTGCATGCCGTTCAAACACCATTGTCAGCATCTTGGTGGTAGATTTTTTTGTACAGTTATTCAGTCTTTTCTCTTTAAATTTATTTTATTTAGTAAAGCACTAACTATATATTTTCCAACAATTGATGAAAGACTGTCCCGAGATAAATTCCGCATTTCATTGGTTTCTAACACATCTTAGCAAGAATGGATAATTTTGTTGGTATGGGACTTGGTATCCCTTGGTATGGGACTCACCTCATCAGGCCGCAGGACAATCTTGGAGCAGGCCTCCACATGGAACCGCACAAACGGCGAGTTGATCGTGGCCACGTGCAGCAGGTAGCTGAAGAGTATGTAGAGCGTGGAGGTGAGAAAGAAGATGACCGTGGACACGCGATCGTTGTTGATCAGCAGTTTGGTAACCACACGATTGGAAGACACCAGGAATCCGGCAATGCTCTCGCCGGCCATCACCGCCTGGGTGTACTGCTTGGGCAGCATGGAGGCGAATCCGTAGAAACTGGACTGCTGAACAGTGCATCCGATGGCGGTCAATGCCACCGCCGACATATTCACCAGGTAGGCGGTATTCGAGGCAAACATGTGCCAGGCCACCTCGCAGACGGCGACAAAGATTAGTGTGGTGAAGGATATCATGTAGCCGAAGAGCACACGGGACTGGAACGGCGCCACCGACAGCACTATGTTGTTCATCAGGACGGTGCCGAAGGCCACGAAAATGTAAGTCATCGACATGTCCAGGGCCACCGGACGACCCGGAAAACGTGCCTGCCAATAGTCCGCCGCAATAATGAAACTGAAAAATATATATATTAATTATATTATATATTATTGTATATATTTAATTATTAATATTGCAGAATTTGCTAGTATATTTATATTAATTATTAATATAATGTGTTTTATAGGTTTATAATTATATTGTAGAATTTGCTACTATATTTTACAGTTACTTAATTAAATCTAAATCTAGTTAAATCTAAAAAGTCGCAAAATAGCTCATAAATGTCGTATTAAAATATAATGATAATGCATATTTTAACAGAGTGAATTAATTATTATTTAATACAAACAGATTTCTGGGTTTCACAATGTTCACCATTTTATTTGATTTTCTGTAGATCAAGCGGCTTTTGTAAAATTAAAAAACTAAAATGATTGTATAACAAATTTGAAACCAAAAAATATTCAATATATATCATAAAACATTTTGATACCCTTGTTTTTTTCCTATTTTGGTCCGCAAGTCAAGGAATACCTTCTCCGCTTCTTCTACTCACCTATTGTAGGGCAGAACAAAACCTATGCCCGCTGCCAGGAGAGCCAGGTAGACGGAGTGCCTCTGATCCTTGGGAGCGCGTGTATCGAACTCGGGACTATCCATGCTGCCGGGATGCCTCAGTCCGGAGCCAGCCGTGGAATTATTACTCCTCGAACGTCCTGAGCCTCGTCCATCCAAGGGCTCATAGGTGCTTTCCTGTCCACCCACATCCATGGTCTTCTACTGCTGTTTTCGTTGCGAATTCCGGTGGCAAATCCCTTTTTAATTGCTGCGATGGCTTTTGGACCTTGGCATTATTTTTCAGATTGTCCACCAAGTGGGCGTGAGGGCTCTGTTGTTTTGTCAGCGGGTCTTACATACAGGGTGCAGATTTCAGGGCAAGAGTTATACACAAATCGATAAAAAACAGACACAAGTGGCTGTCCTGGCAATTAGCCACTTGGGGGCATTTTTATAGCCACAAAACTCAGCTGAGTTGTCTGTGCTGTACAAATTTATTTCAGCTTTAGTATTATTCACTATCCACTGGAATTATTTAAACAGCTCTTCGAGAGACATCTGCTTGCCATCGTCTGCTTGTCTGAGTCGTGGCATTTTTCTCACCACGACCGCCACTGCGCATGTGGCGTATGATTGATTTTAGGAAACTGACCGAAATCAGCCTGTTGTTGTTTTGTCGGCTTAAAATGAAAGTCTTCTTCTTTTCTTGGAGCGTGACCGAATGTGAGGGTGTTATAAATCCAAACCATTGTTCTGAATGTTGCCATTTCTGGCTGATTTTTTTTTGTCTATATTCTGATTGTCTACATATTATTTATAATGGCTTATTTTCATAGAATCTTAAAGATAAATATCATTTGTAATGATGACTCAGAGCTAAAGATAAAAATTAAACAATAAACAGTTGATTATTAGATGTGACTCTTTATTAAACCTTTAAACCGATTTTATTTTTAGCGGTTAACATGCTGTAGAGTAACTGCCGTATAATAAACTTCTAAACATAATTTATATGAAACAAATCTAAAAGCTTTTTTAAATGGCGAATTGGTGATTTATAATTTAATGGTTGCGCTCCGTAACAAAAATTTTGTAGTAAAAAAAAACGTCCTTTTTCACAACAAGATCTTCTTGAGTCACTTATTATTTTCTTTTATCACCAATTCTTTTGCATTCAAAGCAAATCAACCTAGTCTAGACTTCAACGTTTTTTAACAAATTTTATTTACATTTTAATATTCTTGATACAAATTGATAAACAGATAAAGTACCCAAATATATTCTGATTTTTAACCAACATGAGTAAACCAATTGAAAAGGATCCTTTTGTCCCCATGTCCATTGAGGATATTATCAAAAAATGTCAAAGTTTTGATGTTTTGACTACGTTAGACATTACGGAAACGGATGTTGAGGGTCCATTGGCCAATATTGAGCCTTATTGTAAGTCACTTTCGGAGCTGAGAATCGAGATAAGACCGAATCATGATGTCACCGAGTACGAACCATTGGGCGGACTGCCCGAACTAATGCACTTCAATATGATTGGCCAACATGAGCCGGGTAGTTTGGCGCCATTTCTTAAGCAGTCAGCTAAAACAAATACCCTCTCGATTGTGGAGTTTGATAATGCTGAGCTTAATAAGGAGGAAGTGGTTGAATTGACCTCGATCAAATCGGTGCAGATAGTGAAATGCGGCTTCACTGATCAGCAGTCTATTGGCCTCCTGACCACAATGGCTAATCTTCACACCTTGATAATAACCACTGAGCTAAATATTGATATTATGATCCAAGTGGTTGCAATCTTCAAGAATGCCAAAAAAAGAATGCGCATCCAGTTGAAACAAGAGGATTCTGAGTTCCTACTGCAATGGCAGTCCCAACAATTAGTTATTTATGTCTTGGATGACGATCCCATCGATATGGCCATGCTGGCTCCAATATCAGATCTTCAGGATATAAAATACCTTACCATACGAGGACCCCATCTGAATGGCTCGCTGGCTGATCTTTTTTGGGGCTTCAACGCCTGTGAATCGACCAAATTGCAGGACTTGGTCATTAGCAATGGCACTTCCTTAACCAGCGCTGAATTCTCTGCCGTGGCCTCCATTAAATCCTTGAAAGTGCTGGAATGCGGATTGGCGGACTCACCTAATACCGAGCAGCTTTCAAATCTTACCGAACTACGAGAACTTTGCATTGATGCCAGGTCCGAGGAGGACTCTTTAGAGGGTCTTTTTAGAGCCTTGGCCTCCAAGAAGGAACCAACTCTGCAGTACTTTATTTTAACCGAGGGCATGCTGAATTACATGGAAGCCGAAGAGCTGGCTAAAATAAAATCTCTTAAATATCTGGCTTGCAAATTTGCAGATATTGAGAGCCTCAGGCAATTAGAACAGCTGAATAATTTGGAATTTGCCTACATTAATGTGAGGCAAAGGTACTTTCAAGCTTCCGAACAAGCGGAACATCTACTAAACTTCCTTGGATGCTGTCAAAAGGAGGTCCAGTTTGGCACTCGAGGGTGTTTTGTAACTTATAATGAACCCCAAGGTCTTCTCAATGTGGCCTTTAAAAAGAAGGAATGTGACGCCGCTTTGTGCTCTCAGTTGGGAATGTTGAGAAATATCAAAAGACTTCGGATAAGCGGTCGCCATACTATAGGTAATATAGATACCCTGCTCGAGGGCATACTCCTCCACAACGAATTGGATACGTTGGAGCTCAATAAGCTCGAAGGGAACGAGATACCCATAGTGGCCCAGATGAGTACTCTTTTGAAAATTACTTCTGGCATTCCCAATGCATTGAATATAAATCTCCTGGCACATTTGCCCCATCTGAAAGTGCTTACCGTCACAGTACATCACCCGGGATCGTTGGAAAACCTGTTCCATGACCTGGCTGTTCGGGAACTGCCCTCACAACTGGAGACTCTGGCGATCCTGGGGGTTTATCTGATGCCCGAAGAGGTTGCGGAACTGGCAAAAATAAGTTCCTTGCGACGCTTGAGGTGTGGCCTAGTAGACACCTTCGATGAATGGTCCTTAGCCGAGCTGAGCAATCACTCTTTGCTGGAGGAGTTAAACATTAGATCGTATCTAAGTGGTTCCCTGGTGGAGTTATTCAAGGCCCTTCAGCCAATGAACCATTTCCATCGCCTAGTGGTTCGGGGTTGCCGTTTGAGCAACAAGGAAATGAAAGCCATCAAAAGAATACGTTCACTAAGGTCACTTCACTGCGGTTTGTCGAATGCCAGGGATATAGGAATGCTGGCACGTTTGCCACTTCTAGAGGAGTTAGTAATCGAAGCGATCACCGAAATCTATCACAATGCATTGGCTTTGTTGGCCCAAAAGGAACCACAAACTCTCAAAAAGCTTAGCATCAAGAATAAATACTTGGGAGGAGACGATTTTAATAGCATGGTTTCGATGACCTGTCTGGAATCCCTCGACTGTATAGTATACAATGCTTTTGAAATCAAATGTTTGGCCCTCCTTAATCTAACCGAATTGATCCTGCACTGTCCACAAGACATTTCCATAAGACCACTGCTTACCGCGTTGGCTGCCAAAGATCCGCAGGTGTTCCACTCCTTTGAATTAAATAAAAAGTTTTTAAGAGAAAGTTCCACTAGACTGCTTGTCCAAATAAAATCTCTACGGATTCTGAATATGGGCTTCAGCGATTCGGCAAGCTTTGATCTGCTGAACCAACTTACTGAGCTGACAATTTTGAAAATCAAAAGTAAAACATACCATGTCAAGCAAATTTTGAAGTTATTTAAAAACTGCCTTAAACTGGAGGAGATCCATTTCCTAGAACGTAATGAAGAAGTAAACAGTTGGTTTATAAGCCAGTGCATGGATGTTCTAAAGACTGTTCGAAATCCCCAGGAACAGAAACCTTTAAAGATGTATTGTCACAGTCTAAGTTTTCTTTCCTTAGATCAGGTAATTACAAATACCATTTGCTATTTATTTAGTTATAATGATGAATCTTTTCAGGAACACAGCGTTGATTCATCATTTTTGATCATTGATATACAAAAACATACTCCTCTTGATTATTTCCATGACGAAATTTTCAAGGAACCTTCAGATGACAGTACTGATAGCGATGAGCCAAAAAATGATTTCCCCGGGTTCCTTGAAGGAAATAGCTCGGAGGTGCCTGAAGACACTGAACCCGACAGCACAGTAATGGATGTTTGTGAAGATTGATTACTTACTTACTTACTTATATAATACACATGTATTTATATATATAATAAAGGATAAAATATGTTTGTGGATCTCATGTAACAATCATTTGAGTTATGTAATATACTTCTATAAATAAAGACAATTTATCGAGCCAAACATAGGATAGTAAGCAACGTCAAATTTTGTGACGAGAACGTGAATATCTGAACAAAGAATTCGATTAACATTAATCCCGAATTATTAAGCACTTAAGAAAACAAAAATAGTTAACTTTCAGCTATAACATATTTTGTGTTTGAATAACCTCAACGGAATGAGTTGTAATTACTTTGTTAAATTGTTTTTTTTTCGATAGGGGAAAATGCTGCAGTCGTCATTAATGGTTTTTTTTCGATGCATCATCATAGCTGGGTGGCAAGTTCTAAAGATAATAAAATACACTGAGTAAGACATTTTTAAGATGAATTTCTTATACTTACATTGTAAGAAGGTGGTAAGTCACTGTTTCCTGATCCACTGGGTCTGCCTTGATTATAGGGTGTGTTGTAAGCACTTGCTGCAGCTTCTGCTTCTTTGGAATCTGTTGGAAAAGGAAAACCAACCAATTACAATTTCATTCAGCAATATTTCTTTTCAAATTATATTTATGCTATAATATGTTGACACCATTACGTTTCATCTCTTACAATTTGTGTTTATGGTATAATAGCAGGAACCAGGACAACACACATAGGTCTTTGGATTGGATAGAAATAATGGTGAGTGCTGCCAAATCTTGCTACTAAAGGTTCGCATATTGTGGGTGGTAAAGAAAAAGTTAAAGAAGAAACCATTAAACAAGTCACTAAACCAAACGCGGTAAACTAAACTACATTAAGACTCGGCTTTTGTTAGTATTTGCTTTCGGGCATAGGTAAAATCGAAACAATAAATCTTACTTGTCGGGATGGCTTTTTGAAGGACAGTAGTTTGCTATTTATTACACTGTAAAATAGGTCAAAAGAAAAATGTTTTCTTTTAGGACTTAAAATGAGTTTGTTTTGTTTTAGTAATTAATTAAATCGATTATGAGGTATTAGGTGGAAAATCTGATTAAAGGATTTAAATTAGGGAAGTAATAAAAGCATAAACTGATCAAAATTAAATAGTTAAATTGATTTTAAAATTTAAATTTTAGCAGTATGACTCACAATTTATTGCAATTTTTTCACACTAAATATAATATTAAAATTTAAAACAAATATTAAATACAGAGCGAACCGAAGATGTCTTGATTAAAGTGCTTTTCTTGAAACTGCTTGATTCGATTTGAAATCAAGTTCATAATTTATGGATTCTTCTTGATTAGTTCTTACATCGTTATGCTATTTCTTTAATGCCTCTTGATGAAATTTTCATGCTAACTTTCTTAAAACCTTTCATTAGTTTTCAGATCTTCATCGTAAACATATCAAGAAGATTTTGATTAATTTAGAGATGTTCATGCTGTTAATTTCATGGATTTTCATCTCCTTAAGCATTTGTTATTTTTTCTTCTGTAAAAGTTGAATCAATTTAATAAAGTGCATTATAGGAGGGGAATGTTAAATAAATGAATTGATTTACAACTACATGATAAATACTTTAAACTCACTTCCTGGCGGCAAGCTGAAACCCATAAAGCTGGCTCCGGATGCAGCGGCTCCTCCGGCTGCTCCTGCCGCCTGCTGTCCTGCAGGCGGTGGTCCACCTGGGTAGCCATTTGGATAGCCACTTGGTTGCTGAAGTCCCGGAGTGTTAAATCCACCGGGTACATTTCCGTATCCGCCATAGGGCTGCGGTCCATTGTACGTCTGGGCCGGGGCGGCATATGGTGGTCCAGGAGGACAATTTGGAGCACAGGAGGCGTACGGTGGCGGCTGGACATATCCACCGGCCCATCCTTGCGGACCGTAACCCGGCTGTTGTTGCTGCTGCTGCGGCGGCGGTGCTGAAAAACCATACCAATTGGGTTCAGTCGGCGGCGGGCCTTGCGGCTGTTGTGGTGCTGGCTGGTGCGCCGGTGGTGCTAAGATGAAAAAGAGAGGAGTGCCCCAGTGGGTTAAACGAAGCATGTGCGGAGCGTGAATTTCGTGGCTAAGCCAGGTTGCCAATTCGCAATGCAGTGCCAGAACAAAAGCCGAGTGTTGGTTGGGTGAAATGATCGCCTGATTAACTTACCAATCCCCGGATATGGCGGCGGATTGTCGCTCATAAAGACCGTATTCGGAGCCGGCCCGCTGAAGGCATCGTGCTGCGGCAGCCAGCCGTAGTAACCGGGTGGCGGCTGATACGCTGGCGGAGGTGCCTCATTCCAGGCTCCAGCTGGCTGGTAAGGCGGCGGATCATCGCCAGCCATTCCACCGCGATGGTAGTTGTTCATCGCCGTCTTTGCGGAGCGCAGTAGAGCCTGGCCATATCTATAAAACGTAATAAAAACAAAGAGTTTTGTAAGGTAAATTAAGAAAAGAAACGCTTCAAAAGGCAAAGCTAAGAATACTCATGAAAATCTATTATTTCTCTGTTCTCTACAGAATTCAGTTAAGCTCATTTAATCTTGTCATAACGAAACGTTAGGCACTTGCTGTTATTGACTAGCTTTAGATTATAGATTATACAAGTGACGATTATGTATTATACAATTGACGAAATGTGTCTGATAATGTAAAGGAATGAAAATTCACTTGAGTTATCCCAAATTTGTCTTACTCGATGGCACCGCCAGCCTTGAAATGAAGCTTAAACTTGACTTCTCCCACGTAGTTTCCGTTTGGCTGGGCACGAACCTTTCCCTTAATATAGTTGGCCCCGAAAACAGGCTGTTCGATCTCTACATCCGAAAGGGCCACAAAGGGAGCACTGAAGGACTGCATCGAATCCGCGGCCTTCTTGCTATTAAAGATCATCCGGTGGGAGGTGAGGTAAATCCTGCCCGCTTTCGAGCCCTTAAAAATGGGATTGTCCTGGCCGGAAAACTCCATGGACACGCTGTCGCTGTGAAGCAGTATGCTGTGGAAAGTGGGGAATAGGACATTAACTCTTCTTTTTATCTTATTCCTGGTCAATAGGCCGAAAACTCCCAATAAATCAGCAGCCACACGTCAGTGTTTACATTCATGACGTCAGGCGGCTCTTAAATTTGCAGTGGTAATTTGCGTACTTTTGCAGGATACTTACTACTCTCCAGCATGGATAAGCACGCCATTGTTGGCGTGGGCCGTATTAACCGACATGTCGTGTTTGTTTTCAAACTATATCCACAGAATTTAGCTCGATTTCACCAAACTACGTTTTGTTTTTCTCTAAAAAACTGACGACAGCTGATGATTCATAGAGAATAGTGTGGCAACGCTGCAAAGAGAACCACCTGCAATCGATATTTATCGAAGGGTGACCAGTTCGGCCAATTGCTCATCTCTAAAACGAATTATTTTTTTACCTACCTGTCGTACAATTACTGGGGCGATAAAATGCGTAAGTGATAAGATAGTGAGTTAAAAAAGCCTTTAAAATGTGTATCAAAACAAAAGGAAGTTAGAAAAAGTCGCGGGGAAGTTAGGACTTGGTGTATTCTTGAAATATTTGACTTTTATCAGCAAGGTACTTACGCCATTTTGGAGCCCTGCCACCCACCCCAGGAAAAAAAGGTGGGGGCTATCAAAAATTGGGGTCCTCAGCTGATTGGCTGTTTTGTTTTGGTACCGGCTTGGGGGTATTTCTGGTTGATTTAGGTTATAACAAATATACATATTTATTTTGCAGTACCGCTCTTTGGGACCATGCCGAATGGCGCCAGTTTGCCAAATCACCCGAATTTCCTCAACCAATTGGCGGCTGCAATTTCCACCGCGGCCTCGACGACATCGGTCGTGGGAAATCCCTCCTCGCCTCCCAAACAAAACTTAAATAAGATGACAAAAGCTCAGCAGCCACCGCAGGGAAGTGCTCCTATGGATCTAGAAAATGAGAACGAACACTCCACGGACGTGAGCTCCACGACGGCCCACAAGGAACCCAAATTGCAGGCCACATCCACATCGATTTCTCTGCAGGATTCAGCGCAACTATACCTGAACGGTTTGATGCACACGCCACCGGGTTATCTATATTTTCCTGCTGCCCAGGCGGGTGGTGCGCCTGGCCCTGGAAATACGCCTACGGCAGGAGGCACATCCGCACCAGTAGCTTCAGGAGCCAACTCCGCCAATGCCCAGATGTTAATGGATCCTACGACCATGATGGCAGCGGCCATGCAGCAGATGCAACAGATGCAGTACGCCGCGGCAGCAGCAGCGGGAATGACCGCAGAACCTGGAACGGGTCTAGAAGCAGCCCTCAGTGTGGGTAAGAAACCCAAAAACCAGATAACCCACTTAGATTTTTACTCTATCAATCTATTTCACTTACAAAGATGGCGTTGCACCGGCTGGCCTTAAAGAGGTGATCAAGACCAAAAACTGTATCCTGTTCCCGCCCAATCCGAATGCCCCACCACCAACCATACGAGAGCGACCGCCTGGGTGTCGTACTGTTTTCGTGGGCGGACTGCCGGAGAACATAACCGAGGAGGTGATTCGGGAGATCTTCGAGTCGTGCGGTGAAATCACCACCTTACGCATGTCCAAGAAAAACTTCTGTCACATACGCTACCGTCAGGAGGGAGCCATAGATAGAGCCATCTACTTATCCGGTTACAGGTTGCGTATATCGGCATTAAATGAACCTCCCAACTTTGGCCGGCTGCATGTGGACTATGCGCAGGCACGAGATGATCAATATGATTACGAATGCAGGCAGAGGCAGCATCAAAGGGAACAGCGTCATCGAGAGCGCATGTCGATGGACAGGATGCGATCGCAGTCCCCTCCACCGATACCACATTATACGGATCACGAAGCGACGGCCGTAGCGGAGCACCTGCGAACCAACGAGACCTTTGTAAAGGCCATCCAGACGATAACTGCCTGGCTGGAGCGGGGAGATTGCACCAAGAGGAATGCCAATGTCTTTTACTCCATGATCCAGAGTACTCATGCCCATGTGCGAAGACTACATGCTGACAAACTGCAACTGGAGGAAGATCTTAAGAAGGCCAGGGACAGCTACCGCAACCAAATGGGCACCATGTCCACGCAATGTAAGTCTTCCGGCCTTTTAAGCGGCAAATCAGCTTTATTAGCTCTAGTCTAGACGGGAATTTAGGTGCCGCTCCCACTTTAAACCCTATTTTTCTGTTTTCGTTGCGCCCGGGTTAGCCTTTTAGCGTCTGTATATCTAAACGATCTACCAGCGTATTACACACCCACACAAAACTACACTCAAACACACCATACACCCACCCAACACACTCTTTAGCAAACCTAGTCATCGAATTATTAAATGCCGAAACTCCACATAAGAACTTACCGTCTAAAATTTGCTCGCCAAAGGTCAAAGGAGCAAGCCCAAAGAATACAAGCAGGATCAGGTAAAGACCAGCCGAAAAGGACAAAGTAAAAGCCCGCCGCACAGCAAAAATCATTGGATGAGGCGATTCTATTGAGAAGGCATATATTTTTGTTATTCACTGAGATTCAAACTTTAACAAATACAATCGCCTTCGAATCAATAAATAAGTTTTAATAATTATTTGAACTAAAGGAAACTAATTTGCAACATACCTACCCCGATTACAATAATAACAACATTTTTGACTTATTTAAAGTTATAACCAATACAGTTGCATTCCCTGAATAATTTTTTACATTTTCAAACCGTCATTTTTTTTTTGTAAAATATAATCCTTAGCTTAGTTAATTACCGATTTCGTATGCACCACGTTGATCGCCCCATTCACTGATTCGTTCCACTGTGCGGCTGATTCTCACTCACTTTCACTGTGTCTCGACACCACCAAAAAAGTCTTAAGTCTTATTTGGCCAAAAGGTTTGTAAGCCGCAAGGCAGACAGCAAATTCAAGCAATCCATTGGTAAAGTAAAGGAAACTACTTCCGTTGTAGACCAAAAACTCTCAGACTCGGACAAACATAAAGATAGGTAATCACGCTGTTGTATTCTCTCTAGATTGTACCTAATATATCAACCTTAAATAACCGTAACTATTTTACATAAATAATTGCTATGCGAGGGTCTTTTCTGTAGTTTAATTATAATTTTCATTTCTCACTCATTTTATTCGCAAAAGAACAAGTCTAGTTTGACAAAGGTGAAGAGCAAAACTGAAATCCAATCCAAAAAAACAAAAAAAAATACCCTCTGTCCTCCCTTAATATTATTATATATTATTGCATTATTGTTCAGTCACTCAGATTGAAAAAGTGTTCAATGCCGCTAGTCACAAGAAGGTTTGGGACCATTTCACCAAAGCCCAAAGAAAAAACATCGATCAATGGAAGAAGTTAGCCACGGTACGTACTAAAATGTTCAAATAATCAAATACGAACAACTTCAAAGATGTGTATAAAAAACCAATTGTCATCTATTGTCCAATAATCTCGATTCACTATTGTATCCCCTTTTTCATGTTGTTGTTTCCGTTCTTGTTGTTGTAGCTCTTGTTATTATTGTTGTGGTGTTGCTGTAGTTATTTAACAATTTTACTAACAGGATTTTTTGTTATCAGTATCAGTCTGCATGTCGCCCATTTACCGGTCCTATATAATCATAATATACGATTCCATTGCTGACGCTTAAAGCTGCTAATTGCTCTTTATTAATTGTTAATTTTCCGTATTTGTCCCGTGCATTAATACTTAATTTAGTTGTTTGTATGTATCATTATCGAAATTCCCATATCAGTTGTGATGTCACTTAACAAAAAATTATAATATAGATATAATTTGCAAGCTTAAATAAAAATGTATTATTTAATGGACTATCATTATAGTGTTGTAGAACTATAAATACAATTAAGGTTATCAGAACGGAAACTGTTTAGATGTCAAGAAATTTTAAATTAAATTATTAAAAATATATTTTATAAATAATTTAATCTTCAGTTTAAACAGTTTCCTCTTCATAATCCCTCATAAGTCTATTTCTATCAGGTCTTCCACATTTATAGCTTTCGCTTTTGATCTATATTGCTTTTGTCTATCTTTTCTTGGCTTTGGTATTTCTTTTTCGTTCCTAAAATTTCTCTATCTTCAACTAAGCATTTGCATAACATTTCCGATAAGCTTTAAATACTTTGAACTAAACGTAAACTTTAACCGAGTGTCCACAAATTTCCAAGCTTCTATTGGAACTTTAAGATAATAACCAATTTTGGAGGTTTGATGGGCACTTAGTGAAATCGATTGGTTGTGGTATATAGCAAAAGAAAAAACTAAAAAACATTGCTGCTGAGAATCATAATTTGTGCAACAAAAGCAAATTAATTATTAATAGCAAAAGAAAATTAAACAAAACAAATTCTAAAACTTTTTGAAAATGTGGCGAGGTAAGTAAGCGGACCATAATAGTGTCATAAGACAGGAAACAAATTTGATGCATACTTTAAATACACAAATTTTATAGCTAGGTTATAATTATAATCTTGTAAGCAATGGAACTGAAACCAAAAGAAACCCTTCCAAGTGGTAGAAATGGAAAATTAATTAAAGTTCTTTTCGCATGCCATGCAGGAACTGCGAACTGTTCAGATCACCGACGATGATGAAATGGAAATCTCGGACGATGAGCGTGACTACGAAAGACGCGGACCCGGCGCCAAGCGAATTCGCTACGACAGTGAGGGATTAAAGGTAAGAAAATTATTGAAATAAGATTTTAAATCTTATAAATTTATAGTACAATGTTAAACCAAGTCATATTTTTCCAAATTTAACAGGACGAAAACGATTCACTGCGTTGCCAACTGGAGGCCATTCGTCATGAGATGACTCTGGAGCGCAGTGATTATGTCCAGCGTGAAAAGCAAATCAAGGTGCTCCAAGAAACCATACGCAACATGCAAACTCAGCTGCTGCAGACAAAGTTGCGCGAACAAAAGGACAGCAAGACCATTGAGCAGCTGGAGCGGAATCTGAAAGATGCCGGGGTTAAGCAGCTTCTACTGAAGACCAAGATCAAGGAAACAGTGGACAAGTTAAAGGACAAAGAGGCCAACAGTACTGGTGCCTCGAATGCTTCCAATACCTCTAATTTAGACTACAGCAGCGGAGATTCATGCAGCCAGGAGACCCCAGAGATTATCCGGCACCAACAACAACCGGAACTGGAAATAATTGATATCGATAAGGTGGACGATGATGTGCGCATCATAGAGCACCAAAGCGGTGTGGTGGAGATACACGAGATCGAAGACGATGAAAAGCAGGAGCCTGCAAA